TAAAGCCCCATCCAATTAAAACACACTCGCATTTAATCAATTTTATTGCTGAATAGGAATACGCTAATTATAATAATTGCTACCCGCATGTCGCGTGAATGGTTTTATAATCTCTTCTGACTTCTTAACCTATGAGCTACAGCTAACATATTAAGGCAAAGGTCTTTGATTAGTATAAGATGACTTAGCCATAGGAATAAACTGGCAGAAATTGGCGATGTGCATTCCAGGCACTGCACGTCAGTAAATTGGCACAATTAGTACAATACATGTCTATTCAAAAACTTGTATTCAAGAAATGTGCACCCGATTTTGTTTTATTGCCTATATATTTGTTACAATACAGTGCAACCTTTACTAAAAGACACTCTGTACAACGGACAGTTGGACACCTCCATATATACAACGGACAGTATAAGTTCAGGCCACGATGTTGAAACCTCTTCTGTAAATTTTAAACATAAACCTGCTTTCCCGCAGTTAAGCGTTTTTCATGCAAAAGCCGTGTACGCACGGAAAAGTTTAGGAAAACTTTACATAACTATAAGTATAAGTGCTAATTTAGTAATTACCTCAAAAAATACAAAGTCAGAAATCATAAAGAAACTGAATGCTGCCTGTACCCGAGAAGCTAGCTAGCAAACCACTTGACTATTCACAATATGAATACCTTGGCAGTCCTTTATTTCGGACCTACATATAGATGTGGATACTTTCGGACCAAACTAAGCAAAGGCAAAGCTTGCTAGCTTTGCTATGAAAGTATCCACATTTACATGACATGCAGGGGCCTGTTGTTCGAAAGCCGTTTAGCTTAACCCTATAGGTTATTTTAACCTAAAATTCAAAGCAAACTTCCCAACAGCTTGTTTACAAGTTTGTTCAGAAATCTTGTCTGGTTAGTATATAGGACCTTTCTTGTCCGAAATAAACAGACGTGCAGAAACACATGAACTAAAACAGCAGGTTAAATTTTAATCATGCAAGGGTTAGCAGTAATCCAGCTTTGAACAACCAGCCCCAGAAGTGTGAAGATTGTTCCATTTATTGGTTTCAGATTTGGTTTCAAAACCGTCGAGCCAAATCACGACGGCAGGAGGTGAACTCCAACCGAGGAACTGGTCTACCTGCCACAAAAACTACATATAGCGAAAATCATGCACTGCAAGAGCTCTTTCAAAGATGGTCTCATAGACCTTATACATTTCCCACTTTAAACCTTCATTCACCTGGCTCATCGTTAATACCGCTCACCCATGATCACAGAGAAGCATATTGCGACAGGTCAACTGCATGAAAAACTCTCAACGACAATCAAGTATTGCTGAACTTCGAATGAAAGCAAGACAACATACAGAAACATATATGAGCAATCATTAATAATTATCTGAACTACCAGATTGTTCGTCTAAACAATGTCTATAGAATGATAGCAAACTAATTTAAAGTGATTGATAACTTTATTCTTAAAATGTCATGGGTGGTCCATTCTTTAACATACAATATAAAATAACTGTAATTTAAATTGACATAGCAAATATGGCCATAAAGAACACGCCGCATACACAAGCACATTCCATGACATAAATCCACCATCGTCACTCTGCATGGTAGTCGTTCATGTTTCGCGCACCAATATATAGTAAACGTTATGTAATGGATATTATAGTGAATAGTATACTGCAAAGTCAACTGGATACCTCCCTATACATATATACACACCCTAATGCAACCCTAAACCTAACCCCTAAACCTAACCTATATTGGTGCGCGAAACATGGAACGATAACCCTCTGCATGTATGTAATGCAACATATTAAATTTAGGGATAAAAATTTAAACTAATATAAACTGGGTTTTTTCACGACAGTTATGAAGTATATATAGTGTATACGTGTAACATAATGATTATGTCAAAATGTGTCAGTTCGTTTTGGACTTAGAAATTTAGATAAATATGTAACTATAGGTTTCGTGCTCAAATTTTATATTATATAGCTGGGTTTCAGTCACGTGATATACGTTTAGCGCTTGGTGGTCAACTCCAAGTGGAAACACATTTATCGGTTAAATATTCATCAGTATAAGTATTGATCTTGTGTTTGGTATCAAATATATGCAATTTAACGAAATTTACTTGCTTCCACAAGGCATAAAGTGGCAATATGTGTAAAGTTGACCACCAAGCGTTTCCCTATTGTATAAGTCTTGAGTGAAACCCACCTGTACTATAGAAACACTAAACGTCATATCAGGTTCATGAGGTTCCTCATACTAAGCAGTTAGAGAAATTTTTAGTACATTACAAAACAAACTTTCATATATGTAAGCATACAAAAGAATAACTTAGGCTATTCCTATATAATTACACCACTATATCACATATGTTATCAAATTCAAACTTGATACTTTAAGTATCACAAGGGTTGAATGATCCAAAGGCATTGAGCACTAATCCTACAGCATGGGTTTATCAAATTTCATCCAAAACTTCTATTTTTTGTCATAATGTATAATATACTTCAAACAATTAGTCGTTAAAATACTTCTATTGGTGCAGAGAAATTTTGTGAAAATAACTTTAAGTTTATATGTATGTAATCAATGTATAAGATGAAATCTTTTGATCATTTCTCAAACTTCGCTCCAAGTCTCTTTCCGCTGCGCTCCTGTTCTCAAACAGCCAGACGCTATTGCGCTTGATTCAAAATGACGAGATGCATAATTGCACTGATCTGAGATAAATTGGATAACTGGCAAAATCATCTAGCCAAATGCTTTGATTATGATTATTCATCTCACTCCCCACAGGGGCTTTTCACTTTCCTAACTATGTTTATCCTAACCCACCCTGTCAACTTTCCTTGCGGGAGGAAACCCGAGCGCCCAGAGAAAACCCACGACATTCGGCAGAGCGTTGACTGACTCTTTTCACATGAATCCGTGGTGATAATCGAAACCACGGTGTCAGAGGTGAAAGGCACTTGCTCTCATGACGACTGCGCCACCGAAGCCCCCTTTCTTATTACATACAAAGAGGGGGTAATCAGGGGTATTTTCCTGCTCCGTATTGGGGTAATTCAGTTAATTATTCGTTCTCCGTTCAGTCATCTTTTTATTAAACGTTTTTCGATTCCGACATGGATGCCGTGTATCGTGCTTGCGGTGTATTCAATATCCGTTCTCCGTTTTCAGCAGTATTTAAGACGGTTATTTCTCGTTTCTGGACAATATATTCCATTAATTTTGTTTCTGGATTTTAGCTATGTTTTGATTGGGGAACGCAGGTTTCAAATTTTATAAATCACGAACATCGACGCAATTGTAAACAAATAGGTGAACACACCGCCCAGTACGGACCGTTATATTCACTTCTAAGACCTCTAAGACCTTCAGATTCGTAATAAATTTGTTATTTTACGTGCTTCAGGACTTCCTTCTTTTATTTTTCATGTTTCAAGATCGCGCTGCATATTATTTCTCGTGCTTCAGGATTGGTACCCCCCCCCCCTCTACAAAGTTGGAACGTCATCCAATAAGAAGTGCGTAGTTGAGAGTTAATCACTATTTAACTACAAAATAGTGATTAAAAAGGTGATTAAGAGTTTTATACAACCAGCCCCAGGAGAATATCATGGTGGTGCATGACAAGGGTTGGTACTTCATCTTGCATGAATATTTTGGATCCTTGCATTTTGGATTCTTGCATTATTTAAATAGCGTAAAACATGGTGCACGGATCCAAAATATCCATGCAAGATGAAGTAGTTACCATGACAAGTCTTGCATGCCGCTGGCTGGAATAATAAACACAATTATTTTCAAAGTAACATTATATGATTATATTCTAAACTGTGAGGTGTGAAGACAGTGAAGTCATCATTAGACATTAAAATTAATGCAAAAAAAACTTGCCTGTGGCATGTGTTCATTTCTCCAGGTTCTTTAAAATTTAAATTGTAAATGTGCTTTCACAATAACTGCATTAAAGGAATTTACATCATACGTTTTGCTAATATGTAGAATCAATGCAGACAACGGTACTGAAAATTGTAATAGTTGTTATTATGTATAAATAATCCCTGTATATACAGTATATCATACGACAAACAACGAAAGCATACATTTCATTGTCAACTAGATTACATAAATAATTAAATATCATTTGTTATTAATTATTAGTATAATTACATAGGTGATTATTGAAAATTATCCACGCTGATTGGTTACCGTTGAGGTGATTATTACGCGATAATCACCTAAGCGATTTTCAAAATGGCGGCCGAAGCCGTTTTGTCAATTAAAAGACGAAGAAATGTGCATTTTTAATTTTTTTCCAAATAATCACCTATGAAATTATACTAAAACAATTATTCACCTCAGGCTCGGTGATTATCGTGAATAAAAACCTCGACTTCGTCTCGGTTTTTATTCACTGATAATCACCTCGCCTTCGGCGAATAATTGTTAAATAAGGTTTCACGTAAAAAATACCATAATATATTAGTAATACTTATTATAACTATAACAACTTTTATAACTAATACCATAGTAACTAAAAATACTATGATTTGTATCTATGATTATGAATTTACTAAAATTTTATTCTGCAAAGTTACAAGTCTTATAATACAGTACTCAGCAGCGTCTGGCATCTCATTTGTTGAATTAGGCTTTAACATCACTTTATTAACTACGGCAGCAGAACAGGACATGCTATGACATGTACATCTCGTACATTTGTCGTATAAAAATCCCGCTTTTTACCATATAGTTAATTTTAGTTATGGAAGTAGTTAGGGGAAGACGAGTTTACGGTCAAACACTCAAACCAAAGTGAGATTTTGAGGAAGATGCAACACTATGACTTGCCTCTGAGGACAAGGAAACAACTCGTTCCTATATATTATCAATATGTTTGTTGTTGTTAAGTTTTAAAGGGGCCGCAGTAATTGGCTTGCGCTGTTGCGGATTCCCTGCCTTGTACTAATAATTAATATTTGTACAAGGGCTAAGCTATTAAATTAAATTAAATTAATAATTCTTGTTTGACGAGAACTGGTGCGTCATCTTAGGGCGTAATTCCAGTCTTCGCACGAAGCGCCTCGCAGCTCGCTGCGAGCATGAGCACTTTCATCCAATCACAATCTTAAGAGTTAGTTTTAATTAGATGCAAGCACTCGCAGCGAGCTGCGAGGAGCTTCGTGCGAGGACTGGAGTTGCGCCTTTAGAGTCTCATTGACAATAACAATATTCTCTCATATGATGATGAGTTTCCACAATACATTTAGGTTGATCTCCATATCTATCAATACGGCTCATTTGTTTATTTACCATTACAGATCCTGAACTCAACTGAACTGTTGCTTCGAATATACCGTTATTTGGCACTGTACCAATCTGCAGTTGATAATGACACACGCCTAAAATAAACAATAGTAACATCCTGAATTTAAATCCTATTATTATTTATTTAAAAGAATTCATGATTTCTGATTGGCTAACAGTCATCTGTGAAATCGTCATTACGTCATATCAACTCAATAGCTGACCAAATATGGAGTTTTTTACACAATATTGAACGGAGTGACGTCATAATGTTGATATGAAAAAATAACATTAAACGCTATGACGTCATGTCAGTGACGAAAAAGAGGGAAAAGCCTGGTAACGAGATTGCTGCCGAAGGAGTGAGGAATTCTGTCACAACACAAAATGGCTTCCTACGGCCGGCCGCTACATTCGGTTTTTGCATGATATGAAGGATTTAGACTCCATGAAAGTGATTACAAGGCTCCTCTGCAGTCCCACCCTGCTCGGTCGAAAGTTTGTTTTGAGTTTTAGATCGAGGTTTACCGCAATTTGTACCGAGATTTAACAAAATTTCGCCGTTTGGGAACCCAACAGAGTCGCCTGCGGAGGAAGCCAGTCCTTGAGTACTCACGAGTAGTGAGTACGCGCAAATCACTTGCATGCTGCATGCACGTGTTTCAATTACTCGTTCTGACTCGTTAACAGGATAAATTCTATTTTCAGAGCATTTGACTGACACTAGATGCGTCAAATAGTCGCGTGAAAGGAGTGGCTAATGGTAGAGTAAACGGTATCTCGTCTTTCAACACTCATGAGCACGCGCGACTGAGTCAAAACACACGCAAGTGATTTGCGCGTTGACCGTATGCAGTATATAGACCTCGAAATGCAATGTCTGCACACCGTAAAATTCGGTCAATACTTGCAATAGACAGTATTATTGCACTTTTGCCCCAATGGCCACACTTTCATGTTTGCCTGTTTTAGCATGGCAGGCGCACAAGCCGCACATGAAGGTTATATCCCCATGTTTCTTGCAAGAATATGTTTCTCTTTTATTTTGAGCTGAATAACAAACCTATCCTTAACCGTATTGTGCACGAAACATGAGATAATCACATGAAAACGAGGCCATTGGGGCAAAAGTGCAATAAACAGCACAGTCTGCGTTTCGGGAGACTAAAATATTTACCTTTGGGTTTTGTTCCTTGTGAAGCTTTCCTTCCGTCTTCGTCCGCAGACTTTTCAAACGTTTGTACATCTTCATTTGGTATTACTTTAACCGCTGATTTAATTTCTTTTAAACCTAACAGAGCACATTTACCAACCAAATTCTCCTTCTTAATGAGGCCATTAATATAGTCTAAAATTGCCTGTGCACTTTTCTTAATATGGTTATGATTTACATCGACAGGTTTCCACTCCATACAAGGACAGAAATGAGTGGGGATCCCTGTTTCCTTACACACCCGCTCACCAAGTTTTGTGAACAGACTTCTGCCATAACCAACATCTGTGGGTACTGATGGATATGAAAGGACATGACGGAATGTTGCATGGACATCTAGTGGTGATGATAGTACATCAATATTTTCACGAAGATTTTCTACAAATTCTGGATATGTATTTTCGAACCAATCAGGAAGGGTAATGGAAAGAAAAGGTAGACGTTCTTCCATCTTACCAATGACAGTCGATCGTATTGAACCAAAGCGAATACCGTGATCACCAAATGTAACTAAGATTGTATTATCAAGGTAATGGCGTTCTTTCATTAGTTTTAAAAATCTGACTAAATCATCTTCCATCAAAGATAAATCATTCAACCGACTGTGACAAATGTCTGAGAAGAATGTCATTCCAAATTTCGGTGTTTTAGGATATGTTTCATACATACTTCGTACCATTTCTAGACTAACATTATGAATAGCTTGTGATCCTATACAATGTCCTTTCAAGCTTCCTATACCCACCTTAAACCATGATGTCACTGCACTTATACCTGCATACCAATATGGCAGGAGATAGTGATCCATGGGAGGATTACAAAATCCCATTAAACGATATGTAAATGCACCGAGATCAACTTCATCTTCATTAAACATGGTAACGTAGCCATTCTTTTGGAAATCTTTGAAGATCCACGGCCAATCATCAAGACATTTTGCACCTTTCATCCTGAAAAAAAATTGAAATACCTTAGGTTGCACAAAAATAAACCCTCTGCATAAACGTCAGAACAATGAGTGACAATGGGATCTGCAATGAAAAAAAAAAATGCAAGAACTTGTGGTTAGAGCTCGAGAACTGGCCTCTGTAGCTCAGTTGCACAGAATACTACACAGAAGTCCATCTCCATTGTTTTTAGCGTAAGCTCTATTCGTCATGATTCGTCACTCAGCAAGTACCGTAAACAGAAGCAGTCCCCCTCCTGGAAATACTAAAAATGGCGTATGTCCAGGGGGGGTGCCTGCTTCTGTTTACGGTACTTGCTGAGTGACGAATCATGACGAATAGAGCTTACGCTAAAAACAATGGAGATGGACTTCTGTGTAGTATTCTGTGTCAGTTGGTTAGAACACTGCACCGGAATCGCAGGGCCGCAGGTTCAATTCCTGCCAGGGACCTAAAGTTGCATTTTTCGCTTCTGTTCCTGGTTAGGTCTAATAAATGTATATATAAATTTCCACTCGATCCCCATCAAATATTATTCATCCGAGTGAGATGCCACAAATATCTTGATATACTTCTCCCGCAAAAATCTTGATATACAAAACCCATAGAAATAATAGACAATGGTCTAATATTTCTATGGGAAAACCCCTCACATCACAAGACACTATCCTTTTTAGAAACAAAACAACGTCGTCATCGAAACAGATGCATTAGAATCCAAGGTTCTGAAAACTTACACATTCAAAGGATACAGTCATACAGGTATGTTAAGGGTATAGTATAACACCATAAGACGTCACATCCTGGTTTCACACATATTGGAAAACCATAGTCATAGAGTTGTGGTTTGCACAATGTTAATGTTTGGTTGTCAGCGTTTATTCCGATAACTAACCCGAGCATTAACCATAGCCTTAAACCCAGATCAAACGAGGATTAGAGTGTATGAAAGTTGGCAGTCACGCGACCATGCATATCGTGTATATTATTTAAATTAAAACGTACTTGGAACGCTTTTTAAACCTTTATTTTGTCAAACTATACTCTATAGACATAGACTTTGAACTGATCGCCAACTCTCATCAACTCTTATTCTCGTTTGAGCGGGGCTTTAGTTAATTTAAACAGTTCTGAGTAGCAGTGTTTAACCTTGATCTATGTACGAAAACTATAATTCCTTCTTCGGGTAATTGAAAATATAACCGGTTTTATATCCAATTCCAATTTCGTTTGATTTCATTTAAATGCACAATTACCGAAATATGTTGTTTACTAAGCAAATTCGTGTTATATGTGCGTGCTTCTAATTCCAGTGTAGCTTGTAGCATGTAACTTGTAGCATGCCACAGTTCTGAGTAGTAGTGTTTAACCTTGATCTATGTACGAAAACTATAATTCCTTCTTCGGGTAATTGAAAATATAACCGCTTTTATATCCAATTCCAATTTCGTTTGATTTCATTTAAATGCACAATTACCGAAATATGTTGTTTACTAAGCAAATTCGTGTTATTTGTGCGTGCTTCTAATTCCAGTGTAACTTGTAGCATGCCATAACTTGTTCGCACACTTCACTGCTCTCTTTGTTGAAAATTGCATGGGTTTATGGTAAAGAGTGGATGCGCATGCACGGACCGGTGGAGCAGACAAGAGGTTAAAACGCCAATCGGATATAAGATCCGCGTTTTATCCCCATACCCACATTTAATACGTACCCATATTTCCTCCGCCCAACCGCCCATCCACATCCACCTTTTATCCGAAGGGCCTGCCTGTTCATGAGCCCGCATACCCAGCCGTCTCCAGTGAACTGTAATAACACTGGAACGCTAACTGCAGGTAAACATGCCCATACTTGTCCGAAGCCATGATGGCGCTTCTCGCGAAGCTCAGCGAGCAATAAATTAACTTTCAAAAGGACTATGGAGAGTTTCGAGGAGCGGGAAATTCAGTCAAAAGTTTGTTTTTGAGCGAAAATCAGCAAGAAACGTTTTTAATCAAAAGGCTTCAACTTTAAAGATTCAAACCTGGTTTCCTGGATAGTTCTAAGTATTTTACATCCACTAACATGCAGCAAAAACGTCCTGGGTAACAGTTTGATATTCAAAATATTACACAAGTTTGAACGTGCCGAAAAAAACTTCGCACTTTGACTCCGGAGAAAATAACTTTAAAACTGCATGCTCTACTTTCCGGAAACATGTTTTGTATTAAATTTTAAGTATTGTTGAAAGTTTTTAGCTTTTTTCCTTAATTCCTTGTTGAAATACAGCTATTTAGTGGTCGAAAACAGACATCTTTTAGGCGGCGTATTTTCGGCGCCTAAATTGTGTGGGACGATTATAAACGAGTTTTTCTGAAAATTTCGTCCTGACATAAAATTTCAGTTACGGGGGACGCCGTTTTTGTTTCAATTTCAAATTACTTTTCTTCAAAAAATGGAGTATGGAGCTTCCCAATGATGGGCTAATGAATTTGGCTAAATGAAGTTGCATTGAATAGACCATTTTGACGGTCTATTCAATGCAAAAACAAAAGTAAAATGTAAAAACAATGCAATGTAAAACAAAAGTACAGAACGACTGCCCTTTTTATACAATATTGTGAATACTGCGTTCTTCACTCGAGCTTGACTGACGCCATTAATTTTGTTGGAAAATTCAAAATGATTATAGGTGTCACCCGAGGCACGGTCCACACAATGGAGGTTAATAATTATGACTGTTACCAACACGATTGGAAATTGTACAGAAAAATGGTCATGCATGTCGCTGAGTATTCATTGCACGACAGACTCAGTCAAGACTAATTTTCCCGCACTTTTTGTTTTGTTTTGTTCAATTTCAACTTAATACTAGCTACTCCTTGTGGCAAAAAGGTTCAAATTGTAACTTTAAATAGTTCTTAATTATGCTTGAGTCACCTAATATTTTCATGGGCCTTTAACCCTATCTTAATCTCGAAATTCTACCAATAAATCAAACACTTTGCCGACTATGTCCTGAAATAATTTAGCAGTCATTAATATTTCGTACATGTCACCATATACATTCCGGACATGTTCAGTTAAGATGATCTAGCTCATCTTGAGCTATCGTTATCGTTATCGTTAACGTTATATCATTGTATCCCCTACAGATTATTTTGTTATTCAAGGGCGTCGGAAGCGGGGGGCTGGGCTCAAGCCCCCCCCCCCAAATAATTTCCATTTGTATAAGCAAAACACACAAAAGAACTAGAAAAGTGCGAGAGAAATTTAGATTTATTCTTGAGCCTCCCCCCCAAAAAATTGATTTAATTCCGACGGCCTTGTTATTTTAATCACTATACCTACACTGGCAACGGTACCCACCGTCAGGGATTCAATCAAATTAAACTATTGACGTTCTAAACTTCTATTGGCGCACATGGCAAACTTAGCAGTCTGGGTCACAATTGTTATTCTTAATCGACTAAAAATTGTAATACAATCACGGTGTTTTTTAAAACGCGGCACACAATAACACCCGTTGTAGTTCAAATTCATTAGACGATTATACATAACAGTATCTGATGTAACTCATTTCCAGAAGCTGAGACACACTAAAGTGTCTAAAGTAAGAACAAACAGAACACTTTAGGTGACTTTCACATGCTTTTCGTCTATTATTAAGGTATTAACTTGTGACCAGTTGGTGCAGGTAGCCGCGTACATCATCAAATCATCCAATTTCTAAAAACATGACTTCTCATGGACGTGGCAATGCCACAGGTTATATTCAGATCTCTGTAAATTTAGTATGTTTGAAGTCCGACAAAATTGAGAACGAGAGACAAAAGTTGAAGGAAACTGTAACTGCCATACAAGCAATGCTTAACAGTGAGGGCGGGAAGGTGAAGTTATACTTTACCAACCCAAAAGAGACGAGTCTTTTAATAAATGTTTCAAGGACAAAGATAATGAGAAGTTTTACTCGAAAAATTGAGCAGTATCTGGTAGGCACCGCAGGGATTCAAACAACATCAGCCAACATCAATCTTAAACAGTACATTAACAAGATAATAGTTGAAGTTAAGAGAGCCGATGTTATGATTATACAGAGCTACAATCTCTTTTTGCCGACCGAAACACAAGTTGTTCTTGTTAGCCCTCTGGAACCGCTACAGCGAATAAATGATGCGATTTTAAGACGAGAAGTCGTACGAAACGGAACAAAGCTTGATTCTCATTGCAAAAGATTTGTCAAGAGAAAAGACTGTCGTTTACGTGAAGGAAAGTGTGTTCAAGTAAAAAGCCTGAAATCAACTTCATCAAAGTGTACCACACTAGCGGACCGTATGACTGGTAAAGGCAATAAATTCAGTCATTATGTTTCTGCGTTTGCAAATTACAAGGGAGGTAATATCTACTATGGTGTCACAGATGATGGCGTCGTTGAAGGAGAGTGGATTCCGAATGCAGACAGCATCCCCGATATAACAAAGAAAGTTGAAAAGTCCATGAACAAAATGGTCTGGCCTCAGCAGATTGGTAAACCAAAACGTGGGGTACACTGGGAAATATTCTTCGAGCCAGTGGGAGATGAAAACTCCGAGGTTATCCCATCAACCTTTGTGATTGTGATATACATCTCTCCTTGCCTGGGTGGCGTGTTCACTGAGGAACCAGAATGTTATGAAATGGTGGAGGGCAAAGTTAAGAAGATGCCGTTTCTTACATTGAAGAAGGCGTTGAAACTTGACGAGGCAGATCGGAAAGAGGAAATTCCTGGAACAGTTCAACGGATTACATGGAGTTCAGCTGGGACAGAACGACGTTGTACCAATACTGACACATACTTAATGGAGGCTATTAACAATGCACAATGGACACTCTTTTCAAAAGGTGCAGAATATGTTGAAGAGACATTTCCCGAGCATGTTGAGATTCAGTTGATTGTGCTCTCTAAGCGAATTATAACATGGTGCCGACGAAGTTATTTCGGAAGAGCTAGACATTTTCTCGACAAGTTTTACCAAACTTTGCCCACAAGTGAAAAAGACACTACGATTTTTGAAGCAATTGGTTTGTATCTGGAGATTGCCTTACAACGAGCTCAAGGAAATCTCAACATGGACATCCTGGCTGGGGCTTTGTCAATGGTGGAATTAATTCCGCAAGGAATAATTTCTGCTTCACTACTCGTTCTTGTGGCAACTTCTTCTACCATGGGAAATGATCAACAACTAAATCAAGTGTCTCCAAAGGTACTGTGCGAGAAAGCGTTGGAACATCTACAGAACGTACAGAAACCCAATGTCGTCAAGACAGACCTTGAAGGAAAAGCGCATGTCAATTTGGCTCAGCAACAACTTGGCTGTTCATTTTCTGGGAATTCAGTTTCAAAAGATCTGAAAGACGTGGATCTAGACAGAGCGAAGTCCAGTATCACGGTCGTTGAGCAGTCTATCGCGGACGAAGGTGCTCTCGCTTGTTACCGTGAGATCCAGTTCAACAACGTACTGTCTATTCTTAACTACCGACATTCTCAAGTGCACAATGATCAGTCCACTCATTATTTAAAGGAAGCTCTTAATAACTACTGTAGGAAAGCAAAACGAAGAGCCGAAGATTGCCAGTTTCAAGAAATGATAGAATGGGCTAAAATGTGCGAAGGCTTATTTACTGAAGAGCTAGTGCGTGCATATTTCAGAAAGAGAGTCGACGCAAACACATATTAAAGAGTCACGGTAAGCCTTAGATAAAGAATTGGTACTGCACTCGACCTTAGGAACTCTTTCACTGGGACGAAGGGCAAACAATTTAACATCTCCGTAATAGTTGAACAAATGTAACGCCATTGCCTTTTGTATATATACTGTAGTATATTAATCTTAACATTTAGCAGAATCAGTTCATGCATCTAATCATCAGTTGTATATAAACCTCCCACCAGTGCAAACCAAAGTAGTTTTTAATGTTTATCACCTTATTTAAGTAAGAAGCTCTGTTGAGTATTACAGTGGTGGATCCAGCAAGGTTTTTCTAGGGGGGTGCTGGGCAAGCAGCCAAGCACACCGAACCCAGCGCTGGCTAGCAGCGTACTGTCATGAGAGCCGTGCACCTAGTAGTTTCTCGGTTACAATTCACAGATATGTTGAATATATATAATTTAATAATTAGTTTTTGGTTTACGAAACACAAACAGTGCTCAATACCATATAGATACAGCGTAATATAGTTTTTCGTTTTTTGAGGTAAAACGAAAAACTATAATTAATTAATAATTATATATAATATAAATCCCAGATTCTCTTCATTATCAAATACTTGTAATGTTAGACGTTTCCAGCAGAATTAAGAATTTGCTTAATTCAACCCAAGAATTTGAATTAAGAATTCCAATTAAGAATTTGCTTTATTAATTGGACTTATTAGTATTTTGAACTAGTGCTATGGTGCTGCCTTGAATTCCAAAACTTAAATTAGTCAAAGAATGATAAAAACTTTGAATACCTCAAACATCTAAGATATATATTTAATTTTTTGCACCCCCCCCCCCTGTTAATCAAGGCCAACAGGAGTGTACACCCTGTACAACCCCCTATAAATCCACCACTGGAGCATTATGCCGTCGGGACTTTGTCAATAAGCAACTTTAGATATGTTAATGAGTGGTGATGCAATCTTAATTAGTTAATTTGCTCACTCATTTTATATGTTATGGCTGCATTCTGCTCACTGAAGTATTCCGTTTTTTTGTTCAACGACGAAAATCTGACATTGTACATGTCATATGCAAACAAGCACTCATGGTTGAAACAGAAACAACTATTAGTGGTAATGTTTGTAACTAGTTTGCGTATACGAATAGATACATTTGTATACGGTTTACATGATTATACATACGACCTAATCGTTAAAACGTGATTGGGTACAAATCAGTGACTTTCAATAGTAGCTGACAAAATGTGTAAAAAAGTTGTAACAATAAATTAACAACAATGAAAGTATTGGCAGGCTATAAAATTAAAGGCAAATTTACGTTACTTCATGTCAGTATCTGTTCCAAGCTCGTTCGAAATTTTTCAAACACACATGGCTTTGTGAGTTTGTGCCATTATGCTTTTTTTAGTTCTTTACTTAACTATGGCATTTTCATTCAGCCAGGTACACCATCAAATTGAGCAAAATGTCAAACGTACAATTATAATAAGAATTGAAGCTATCTCGTTTCAGATATATTAATATACTTAGGGAAATAATTGAAAATAATTTCCCTTTTTCCCCAGAATTTGGGCGTCCAAAGGCGTCCATTTTTTGTTCTTCTGGCTAAAAGCCTGCCCCCCCCCCCCCCCCCCCCATCTCCTCAGATATTTGGGAAGTGTCCGTCACCGGTGCAAAGATCTTTTAAACAAATAATGACAAAAACTTGAACTGTGTTGATTACCTGTGTCGTCCTTCAGGTAGCTCTTCCTCTTTCTTTCCAGTGAGTAACGCCAACAAAGCAGGAGTAGTACCATCGCCTACGATTGAGTAGCCATTAAATATAAACGACTTTAAATCATCTTTCAAAAATTTGTAAACTTTTCTCAGTTTTCTTTGAAAGTGTGAATGTGCTGTTGAATCCAAACCGACCATAATAACATTCATTGAAGCTAATCCTTTCTTTGTTGGTCTTTTCAAAACATCAGCTTTGGGAGATATTTTCAAATGGAAGTCAGTTTGTATTCGGCCACTTGTAGTGGTTACGTCGACACGAATCATGTCTTCATTGATGGTAACTTGAGGTTTCTCTTGATTTAAAATTCCGGAGGAGGACAAAATAAATTTTGAACCATCGCCAGGTTTTACTTTGACGACTTGCCATGCAACTTTTGATATCATTCCTGTCACAAAACATACAAACACACGTTGTCAAGGATGAAAATATACTGTACCGTACCGTACCGTACTGTACTGAACCATTCAATTTTTTACATATAATGAAAACTAGCAACAACCTGACCTACCAGATGACAGGCTTATCTACTTATTGGGCTCTCGTCCAAACTTTCACACATTGCTAATTTGACGAGGAGACCAAGTTTTATCGTTTCCCCACTTTCATGATAGACTTACTATTACACTTAAAAGCTGGCGAAATATGATTTTTACTGGTATTGGCAATAGTTGGGTGAATCCAATAGGAACTGTAACATATCTTCACAGTAAAAAATTTCAATCTTCATCAACTTTTTTACAGTCAAAGTCGCCAGATATGATGTCATTAGATGAATTGCAAAATAGTGTTTATTTGGGTTTTTTCTGCTGACATCATTTATGTTTTTTCTAATGACGTTACATGCGGCGACTTTGGCAGACTAAAATTAATATAAAGTACATTACATTTCTTCTCAGATTGACTCAAATAGTGCACATACCAAAAATCATATTGGAGTCACTGACACTGTTACGTCAGTGGTGAAACAAATTCAATAAATTCAAAGCAATTGTATATAATGTGGAAATAAGACCTCAAATTGGCTACGCAGGCGACAACTGGCAGGAAATGATGTGGTTTGAATTCTCCACCTCTCAAAATACGGGGGGAGGGGTGTGGTGTCGAGAACTCGGATAATTTAAACTGAAATTTTTAGTTTCATGATGGCTAGTCAATTCAAAAAACGAAAGAAAAACAAAAAAGTTGTTTCAATGATGTCGTGAGCTAGGGTCGTATGGTCATCGAGTCATTCCTATGAGCTGAATAATGTATGTGTATGTTTGTATGAACATACAAACATACACATACATTATTCAGCTCACTTCCCAACGGGGCTTTTCAGTGACCGATTACATCAAGTATTGCGCTCACTTGTATCACCTACTTAGCCTACACGCGTAAAAATCATCATGTTGTTGCAAGTTGTCAACAAGTTGCTGCAACTTGGTTCTGAACAGGATGCTGCAATATTGTGCGGCCCACTTGCAGCAATGTTGTCAACAATATTGTTCACGCTTGTTCGAACAATGTTGTTGACGCCTGATGAACGAACAAGGCCTGAACAACGTTGTTGGAACAACTGAGATCAACCTGATATCAATGATGTTTTATATTGTCAACAACTGCGAACAGTCTTGTTTTATCAATACGTAAACAAGCTGATATCAATCGTTTTCGACGCTGTTATTCGTGGCCATTTTCCAGGGGGGGGAAGAGAAATTTAAAGGCACAGTTCAGCCTTTTGAATGATGGTTTTTAAGGCGCGTTACAAGCCTTTTAATTGAAAAAACTAATTAGGAAAATCAATTAAGCACAATTCAAGATCAGTGATTTCAATGTTTTTAACATTTTTAAACATTTCTAATGTTTTTTAACATTGAGTTCACTGATTTTGAATTATGCTTAATTGATTTTCCTAGTTAGTTTTTTCAATTAAAAGTCTTGTAATGCGCCATAAAAACCATCACTCAGAAGGCTGAACTGTGCCTTTAAATAAGCACACAAACAGACAAACTTCGCTTCTTGATATGAAATTCAGTTTATTTTGAAATAAGAAAATACAGATTAGTGAACAAATACAAATTAAAGAGATAATTACAGTAAAAGTACAAAGGTAAGATGACTATAAACTATTTTATATGCAATTAAGGTTTATAAAATACTAAGTACTATTTATAAATCTAAATACTTATAGTTCTAAGTGTTTTGACTTTTGAGTTCATATTAAATACAGCTGGTAAACAATGGCAGTATTTTAGCAAAAGGTAGTGCAACACTGCAACCTCTATAATTATTATTTAGGTATTGTCAGGATGGAATTTGAATCTGTTGGAGCAAGTCTATCACAGAGATTTTATGAACCATGCATGCAATTTGTACATAATCATATATTTGCATATTATATTTATAAACTGACAGTTAATAATTAATCATTCACAGACTAATAAAATCATCTGGGGCCGGTAGTTCAAAGGCTTACACGGGCTTCGAACAACCGGGCCCAGATGATTTTATTAGTATGTGAAAGAGTAATGGTATTAACTGTCAGTTTATAAATATAATGGGCAAATTAGAGAGAATATATATAATATACTAAAGTAGGCTCATTGCCAATTGATGGATTAGGTTAACATAATTAATAAACTATAGATGGTTTTGTTGCATCTCACTCGATGGAAATTTTAATGTTGGGTTTTGTTGATGGATAAATGGAGTACTTAATAATTTGAATTAAAATATGGACCTAACCAGGCCCTTATTGCCTGAATGGCATCTTATTCAAATAATCATTTAACTTGAAATAAAGGGATCTCCCTCAATTGATTTAGCCTGCAGAGGGCCAACCCCATTCCTGGATCACTTAACCTGAAATTCAGGCCTTACTTGCAATTTTCTGTCTGCATCCTTTTGAATGTTCAATATTTTTAACCTTACATTAATGATATTAATGATTATTCAATTAAAGTCAACTACAATTTCTTTTTCATCCTGAGAACATCCAGTTAATTCAGTCCTCCTGAATTTGTTTGACA